CCTCTTCTACTCTTCCCTCGAACTTGCTCTAGTCGTCTTAAGACAATACCTCTTGTGAGGCATTCCTAGATGCCTATCTTCTCGAACTTGCCTCGAAACCACGACTCTATGGTTGACGTGCATGCTCACTCGAGTTTGCGTCCCTTGACCGTAACACTATCTACGAACCAATCACAACATGATAAGAAAGTCTAGAGCAAAGTCATGAAGTAGAAAGGTCGAAGACAAGTCTTGAGCAAAGGACATGTGATAAGGAAAGATAAGCCGATGAAATGAAAGATAATAACATCGATAAATCAGGAAAGTCGAGATATGACGTACGAGGGAACTTCGGACAACAACAAAAAACGAAGACGTCTAGAAAGGGAACATACTTCCAAAGAACAATACAGAAGTTGAAGGCTTCGAAATACCAAGCGCGCGCCTAAAGTCCACAAAGGCTTCCGGAGGATCCGAGATCATGGAAGGAGCCGAGTCGCACATCTTGCCTGATCCGATGAAGTCTAGATCAGTAGACTAGTATACGGGCCAATGCATATGCATGGCAGTGACTCAGCTTAAATAAGGCCAGGGCCGCCAAGCTCTGCCAGAAATACTATATCTTGAGCCTTTTAGAAAATGTCAGACTTTGCATATATACATACAATCAATGATTATCTTCCAGCCCTCTGAAGTACTTTAAGATCAAGATCAGTTGTTATTTTCACCTCTTCTCGCCATTGTTAGGGTCTCGAACATCCACCCACATCTACCCACAACCCACCAGCCTTGACCCACACTCCCCGCACAGTCTCACATGATCCCGCATGACCCCGCACATCCCCGCACTCAGCATCATCTCTCCGCATCCCGCATCTCCCACACCTCCGTCCACATCCATTCCACTCCTGCACATGCGGACTCCCCGCATGTGTCCGCTCTATGGATGTCCGCATCCGCAAGTCCGCAGCCCGCAAGTACCAGCAGACCGACACGGCCCGCAACTGTGGGCCGGTGCGGATCGCGCGGAGAAACCTCGTAACTGCCCTCTAGGTGCCCAGACTCTGCATGTGACCTCTTAGTTTTGCATGTACCAGAGCTTCGGAGCAATCTGCTGTCTTGTTTGTACCTTACCCGGGTCAAGGGTTTCAATATACTCATTTCTTCTTCGCAACTTCGCTTCATTCGTGCTGGTTCATGCCTATTCACCGCCTCCATCCATCCCAACAACTCTGCAACGCTCGATGGCACCACTGCAGCCTCTGTGGAAGCAGCCTCAGCCGCCTCCACTGTCCCTGTCACCCTTGAACTCCTCCATCGTCGCCTCATTCACCACAACCACGCTGATATCAAGCGTTTGCTGGACAACAAGATGGCGACTGGCATCCCTACAGTCTCTACAGCGAAGCCTGACCCGGTCTGCGAGCCCTGCATCGATGGCAAGTTGCAGTCTGGCTCCTTTCCCTCCACAGGCAACCGCGCTTCCGCCCCGCTCGATCTCGTCCATTCCGACTTGCACGGCCCCAAGGAGGTCCCTACTCGCGAGGGATACCGCTACTGGATCACCTTCATCGACGACTGCAGCGCAAACCAGATCTCAGCATTCTCAGGGTATTCGGGACGACGAAGAGGATGATGAAGACGAGGCTGCTGGATGGGTCACAATCGAGTTTGCAGGTCTTGTCTCAGGCGATCCCGCGCAATTGGGTGCATGCTATGAGCGGTCCTGACGCGGACAAGTGGCGGAAGGCTGCCATCGAGGAGATACAGACCCTGCTAGCCAACGGTACTTGGACTTCGGCTGATCTGCCTCCAGGAGTCAAGGTCTTGCCCTGTGGATGGGTCTTCAAGATCAAGTTCAATCCGGACGGGACCATCGAGCGCTACAAGGCTCGTCTCGTCGCCAAGGGCTACTCCCAGCGTCCCGGCATCGACTTCACCGAGGTTTTCGCCCCCACTTACCGTCCTGCTGCGCTCCGGCTCGTCCTTGCCCTTGCTGCAGCTGAGGACATGCATCTGCGCTCTGTGGACATCTCCTCTGCGTTCACCTACGGCGATCTGGATGAGGACATCTACAGTGGCTCAGCCAGAGGGCTTCAACTTCGGTGCCGGCAAGGTTCTCAAGCTCAACAAGTCGCTCTATGGCCTCAAGCAAGCTGCGAGGCAATGGAACAAGAAGCTCCACACCGTCCTGGGCTCCATGGGCTTCAAGCGCCTCGAATCCGACCGATCCCTCTACCTCTACGCCCGAGATGATGTCAAGATCATCGTTCCGGTGTACATTGACAACATCACCTTTGCCTCCAAGTCCACTGCATCCGTTGACAAGGTCGTTGCAGAGCTCAGCAAGCACTTCAAGCTGCGAGATCTTGGTGAGACTCGCTTCCTGCTTGGTATTGAGATCTCTAGGGACCGCGCCACTCGCTCGATCAGTCTCTCACAGCGCCAGTACATCGTCGACATGCTCAAGCGCTTCAATATGGACGCCTGCAACAAGGTGGACACTCCTCTACCCGTTGGACAGCCTCTGACGAAGGCCATGGGTCCCCAGACCCCTGCTTGAAGTCGAAGAGATGCGCAATGTTCCCTACCTCGCTGCCGTCGGTTCCCTGCAGTACCTCGCCACCATGACTCGCCCAGACATCGCCCACGCCGTCAGCTACCTTGCCCGGTTCAACTCGAACCCAGGCCTCCATTGGGCTGCTGTGAAGCATCTGTTCCGCTTCCTTCAGGGCACCAAGGACTACAAGCTGCGGTACTCAGGCCCTCTTCTCCCTGGCATCTTCACGGCCTACTCCGACGCATCTCATGGCGACTGCAAGGATACCGGACGCTCCAGTGGTGGGTATGTGACTGTGGTTGGTGGTGGTGCTATCAGCTGGGCTGCTAAGCTCCAGCCTGTTGTTTCGCTCTCCACATGTGAAGCGGAGTACATTCAGGCTGTTGAAGCTGGTAAGGAGATTCTACTGGCTTCGCCACCTTCTGGGGGAGCTTGGCTACCCCATCACCACTCCCACTCGCCTCCTGATCGACAACGCCAGCGCTGTGACAGTCAGCAAGAACCCAGAGCACCATGGACGCATGAAGCATCTCGACTTGAAGTTCTTCTGGCTCCGTGACACTGTGGAGTCTGGTGTCATTGCCCCAGTTCGCATTCCTGGCACAGAACAGGCTGCGGACATCCTGACCAAAGCCCTGCCTGTGCCCAAGGTCAAGGACTGCTGCGCCCTACTTGGTCTGGTGGATTCCTGAACTGCCTCAGTCATGGGGGATTGTTAGAATTCGTGACTTTGGCACTTCCACTTGGTCGATAATCCTTCCGTGTTTGGTATCATTCGAACCGTCTTTTCACGCTCTTTCGAACGGTACCCGAGGGACGGAATTCCGTCCAACGGTTACCGAGATATTACCCTTTTACTTCGTTTTGCTAATAACCCCGAAGCCAAGCCTACCTTACATGTGTTTACGGATGTACGGAGGCCCGTCCCCCGACGTTTTACCGACCCAAAATGTCTTATATAGTCGCAGCACCACTCTGGAGTCCCCCAGTGCTTTCCCCTCACTGTTGGACTTCAGGTATGTGCTCCCTTTGAATATATTAGTGCTTTCCCCTCACTGTTGGACTTCAGTTCGCTGTTTTAACACCTGCCACGTATAGGTTGATACCACCAGTTGCTGGAAGAACAGGTCTAAATGTTCCCATCTCCTCCATAGGGCTTCCATCGAGACCCGTTGAACCCGGCTGACATGCACTATATGCATAGTATACGTGAGACTGTCGTTATCAGTGAATCCAGGCGGGACTGTAATAATGAAGAGATCTTCCCCAATGGCCTCATCTTGATCGGAAGCAGATTCCAGTGGTAGCGGGGGTGGTGATGGTGGAGGAGGAGGAGGAGGAGGAGTCGACTCCTCTGTTGTGACCCCCGCCCTCCACTCATCATCTTATAGAGCATATATGAGCAATGATGGCAGCTTTAGGCAGTGGAAAGGGACTCTGGACGGTGCTGTATGAATACTTGTAGTTGGGAAGAAGCTTGCGGAGTTCTGCTTTGAGGATTTTTTGTCAGGTGCTGATAACACAAACAAGAATTTTTTCAAGCAGGGTCGACATCGCAGGGACAGAGAGATGGTGTCGCTATTTGTTTCTTGGGAAACCTGGTCGAGTTCTACAACAGGTGTGGCAGCTGGAGGAACAGCAGAGGCGGTGGGTTCCAGTGTCGTAGGGGGTGCAGTGATGACGAGGCGACGGAGCGCTGGAGAGGCTAGGTGGCTCTGGAAAAGTCGTGCTTCTACCACCAAGTCCTTGCCCTGCTGGTCCGATAGTTCCATGGAGCGGAGGACTGACGGTGTAATGTCCGGGAGGGAGGGCTCTATTGGAATTGGATCAGCAATATCCTGTGTAACCCACCCTGGCTGAGACCCAAGATTGGCCACCCAGACATCAACCATTGAGCTCTCGCCCAGAACCTTCTTGACCTCTGCATGGGTTGAAAGTACCACAATTCCAGCAATGGCCGGGAAGACATAGATACGCTTGGGGGGCTGCCCAGTCTGAAAGAGAATCAGTGAACTCCAAATAATGCATGGGTTTAGACCACAAACCAGAGTCCAGATCACACGACAAACTCTATTTTTGAGTTCGTTCTTGAGGGCATTGACGTTTTGAAGTTCCTTGGCCTGGCTATTACGAGCAGCATGAGCCTGCAAGATGGGGTGTTGACCCCAGGAAGCATCCATTGGGCGGGCGTATTGACGAGGCGCTGGCGGCACAACAACTCCAAGCACTGGTGCTGGTACAGGCGCAGTCAAACGGGCAAGGTCAGGAACGAGGTTCAGAGTGTTAGATTGTGAATATGTCACTCTGTTGACTGCACTATCTAATCATGGTCAGGGTCCCTGAACATGTGGCATAGCCCAACCTGTGGCATAGCCCCCCTTGTGGCACAGCCCCAATGTGGCATAGCCCCTTCAAACCCATGCTAGGAGGTTATACTTCCTCCTACTCCTGCTTTGAACAAGACCATATAGCTCAGTGGTTAGAGCGTCCCTCATGTGTAGAGGAGGTCTCTGGTTCAATTCCGGATGTGGTCACTTTTCCCTTTTAACACACTTTTCCCTTTTAACACGGAGGACCATCTACCTTTGCCATCAGAACAGTAGCAAGACCAAGGAATGACAAAGAGCTCACCGGAGTTGGTCGAGCCAAATAGGCCAGCCAGACTAGATGTGGTACGACAATGGGAAGAGGCACGGCAAAGAAGTCTCCTTCACTGCTCAAGAACCATTGACAGCAGCTTGAGCAGCAAGGGGAAACCCTACTACACGCCTTGTTGGCCTGGCGTGGCAGCCTGTTTGCACCTACCCAAGGGACATGGTTCCCGTTGACCTGCCTCCCAGGACAAAGGAGCTTGGTAGGACCCGTGGGGGCGGGAGTTGCGGTACCACGGGCGGTGCCCTGAGAAGCTCGACAGAGAAACCATCCGTCAGGCCTTCATTGCTGAAGAAGCCCAGCGCCCTCCACCGCCGCTCTAGCCCATTCCGCTTCGACACCCCTCCAATCTGCTGTCTTGTTTGTACCTTACCCGGGTCAAGGGTTTCAATATACTCATTTCCTCTTCGCAACTTCGCTTCATTCGTGCTGGTTCATGTCTATTCACCGCCTCCATCCATCCCAACTCTGCAACGCTCGATGGCACCACTGCAGCCTCTGTGGAAGCAGCCCCTGTCGCTTCCACTGTTCCTGTCACCCTTGAACTCCTCCATCATCGTCTCATTCACCACAACCACGCTGATATCAAGCGTTTGCTGGACAACAAGGCGACTGGCATCCCTACAGTCTCTACAGCGAAGCCTGACCCGGTCTGCGCCTGCATCGATGGCAAGCTCCAGTCTGGCTCCTTTCCCTCCACAGGCAACCGCGCTTCCGCCCCGCTCGATCTCGTCCATTCCGACTTGCACGGCCCCAAGGAGGTCCCTACTCGCGAGGGATACCGCTACTGGATCACCTTCATCGACGACTGCACTCGTTTCCGTGTCGCTGTGCCTCTCAAGCGCAAGAGCGACGCATTCGACGCATTCCGGAGGTACAAGGCATGGGCAGAGAACCAGCTGGGCGCGAAGATCAAGTGCCTGACCCGGTACGACGCGCAACAGACCCCAGCAGAACGGAGATGCAGAGCGAGCGAACAGGACGATGAACGAAGACATCAAGGCCATGCTTTCCAAGTCAAAGCTGCCTCCTTCGTTCTGGGGTGACGCCCTGGCGACTCAGATCAAGATCTGGAACTGCCTGCCCACTGCTTCACTTCCTGGCATGACACCTTACGAGGGGTGGTACAAACGCAAGCCAGATCTTGATCAGGGTGTTTGGGTGCACGGCCTATGTGTTTGTGCAGAAGGATCAGCGCTCGCTTCAGCCGCACGCGCAAAAGTGCATCTTTGTGGGTTATCCGCCTGGCTACAAGGGCTGGCGCTTCTACAACCCCACCACCAAGAAGTTCGTCATCTCAGAACAAGCTATCTTCGACGATGTTGGATGGGTCACAATCGAGTTTGCAGGTCTTGTCTCAGGCGATCCGCGCAATTGGGTGCACGCTATGAGCGGTCCCAACGCAGACAAGTGGCGGAAGGCAGCCAGATTTGCCTCCAGGAGTCAAGGTCTTGCGCTGTGGATGGGTATTCAAGATCAAGTTCAACCCCGATGGCACCATTGAGCGCTACAAGGCTCGTCTCGTCGCCAAAGGCTACTCCCAGCGTCCTGGCATCGACTTCACCGAGGTATTCGCCCCCACTTACCGTCCTGCCGCCCTGCGACTCGTTCTTTCTGCGCTCTGTGGACATCTCCTCTGCGTTCACCTACGGCGATCTGGATGAGGACATCTACATGGCTCAGCCAGAGTGCTTCAACTTCGGTCCTGGCAAGGTACTCAAGCTCAACAAGTCGCTGTATGGCCTCAAGCAAGCTGCGAGGCAATGGAACACAAGAAGCTCCACACCGTCCTGGGCTCCATGGGCTTCAAGCGCCTCGAATCCGACCGCTCCCTCTACCTCTACGCCCGAGACGATGTCAAGATCATCGTTCCGGTGTATATTGACGACATCACCTTTGCCTCCAAGTCCACTGCATCCGTTGACAAGGTCGTTGCAGAGCTCAGCAAGCACTTCAAACTGCGAGATCTTGGTGAGACTCGCTTCCTGCTTGGTATTGAGATCTCTAGGGACCGCGCCACTCGCTCGATCAGTCTCTCACAGCGCCAGTACATCGTCGACATGCTCAAGCGCTTCAATATGGACGCCTGCAACAAGGTCGACACTCCTCTGCCCGTTGGACAGCCTCTGACGAAGGCCATGGGTCCCCAGACCCCTGCTGAAGTCGAAGAGATGCGCCACATTCCTTGTCTCGCTGCCGTCGGTTCCCTGCAGTACCTCGCCACCATGACTCGCCCAGACATCGCCCACGCCGTCAGCTACCTTGCCCGGTTCAACTCGAACCCAGGCCTCAAGCATTGGGCTGCTGTGAAGCATCTGTTCCGCTTCCTTCAGGGCACCAAGGACTACAAGCTGCGGTACTCAGGCCCTCTTCTCCCTGGCATCTTCACTGCCTACTCCGACGCGTCTCATGGTCAACGTCAGTGCTACCGTCAGCAAGAACCCGGAGCATGGCATTGTCCCAGTTCGCATTCCTGGCACAGAACAGGCTGCGGACCATCCTCACCAAAGCCCTGCCTGTGCCCAAGGTCAAGGACTGCTGCACCCTACTTCTGGTGGATTCCTGAACTGCCTCTTCAGTCATGGAGTGTTCGAAGTCGTGCCTTTGGCACTTCTACTGGGTCGATTCCTTTTGTGTTCATCATTCGAACCGCCTTTTTACGCTCTGAACGGTACTCAAGGGACGGAAATCCGTCCAGCGGGTACCGGGATATTTACGTTTTACTTCATTTTGCTAATAACGAAGCCAAGCCTGATATCGCTTAGCTTCAACCTTGGCAATGTCTTATATATTGGCAGCACTCTGGAGTCCACCAGCGCTTTCTCTCACTGCTGGACTTCAGGTATGTGCTCCCTTTGAATACACTAGTGCTTTCTCTCACTGCTATATTTCAGTTCGCTGGTTTAACATATGCAACATTACACAAAGCGCGAATAAGGCGATCCCTTCATTGCCTTCAGAGACGACTTCCTCAAGAACCAGGGGTTCCTGGTTGAGAGGGGAATCGTTGCCAGGAACAAGGAGGGCTATACGGACGTGGTCGAAGGGTTCCGGACAAACTCCAAATTCCCCTACAATTTTGTGCCCGCCTTCGCAGTTTCAGAAAGCCGCAAGGTGTGTGCGCCAGTGTGGTTTCACTTGCATCTGACCACCTCTTAGGCGGAGATTCACTCTGTCTACTTCGTTATCAGCAGCCCGTTCCACTTCAGTATGGAGACTACATATCGGGTGGCCAACCCGTCCAGCAAAGGCATCCGATATGGAAGTACGTACTCGAAATAAGTATCGATTCAATCCTGTGTTCCTTTTGCTTTCTGGTATGTTCCCAAACTGCGGTTCTGCAGTTCCTACTAATCTTGTCACAGATGAGGAGATGAGAAATCCCATTAGGCAGACCATCTACTACTGGGACTATGGGGCTCAGCCGGAAGTATTTTCTTCAGTAGTTATCGAGTACAGGTTTGTCAATAAATAATACATCTAAGCAATTTTCTTATTAGAACCTTCGCGCTACGAGCAGGGTCTACCTCGATTGGCGCAGCATCAACATCGCCCCCAACACACGCGAAAGTGGTCACTCCCATTGGAACTCTTGGTTGAAGATAACCGCAACCCTCGGATGTTGTGCCGGATGGTGTACTCCGAGAATTAGGCCAGACATTCCACGTAGACACGGGGATTGAAGGTAGCGGGCGCAATACCTCTAGGTGTAAAACACCACAGAGTCAACCTATGTTGTCCGCAGATTTGTTTCGGGTGTAGACCACCACGAAATGATGGCCCATGACCACCGGCGCGCAGCGTCCCCTTTGGATTGATTCTTCAAGACCGACCACCAGCCGCTCCTGCCATGCTCTTACTCGATGAGAGTGTAGGACTCCGGGTAGGACTCCGGGTAGAGTGTCCACCTTGTTGCAGGCGTCCATGTTGAAGCGCTTGAGCATGTCGACGATGTACTGGCGCTGGGAGAGGCTCGAGCGAGTGGTGCGATCCCTAGAGATCTCAATACCAAGCAGGAAGAGCCCAGGACAGTGTGGAGCTTCTTGTTCCATTGCCTGGCAGCTTGAGGCCATAGAGCGACTTGTTGAGCTTGAGGATGCCAGCACCGTAGTTGAAGCTCTCTGGCTGCGCCATGTAGATGTCTTCGTCCAGATCACCATAGGTGAATGCAGAGGAGATGTCCACAGAGCGCAGATGCATGTCCTCAGCTGCAGCAAGAGCAAGAACGAGTCGCAGGGCGGCAGGACGGTAAGTGGGGGCGAATACCTCGGTGAAGTCGATGCCAGGACGCTGGGAGGAGGAGATGTCCACAGAGCGCAGATGCATGTCCTCAGCCGCAGCGAGAGCGAGAACGAGTCGCAGGGCGGCAGGACGGTAAGTGGGGCCGAATACCTCGGTGAAGTCGATGCCAGGTGTTAGAAGTTACGACTTTGGCACTTTCCCTTGGTCGATTCCCTTCATGTTTAGTATCATTCAAACCGCCCTCTCACCTTAACGGTACCCGAGGGAGGGTAATCCGTCCACTGGTTACCGAGATATTTACGTTTTACTTCGTTTTGCTAATAACTCCGAAGCCAAGCCCCGGATTCCTTGGCTTCGACCTTGTTTGTGTTCTCGCCTATGCGGACCTCCGTCTCCCGACATTTCATACTCCGCAATTGTGTTATATAGTCGCAGCATCATTCTGGAGTCCCTCAGTGCTTTCCTCTCACTGCTGGACTCCAGGTATGTGGTGCTCCCTTTGAATATATTAGTGCACTGCTGGACTCCAGTTCTCTGTTTTAACACCAGGACGCTGGGAGTAGCCTTCCGGGGAGCGAAGCCGTGGGCAGGCAGTTCCAGACCTTGACCTGAGTTGCCAGGGCCTCACCCCAAAACGGAG